CCGCACTAAAAGAGCTGTACCCAGGTAACAGGAATCTTAATTGTAGCATGCGTCGCCCGATCTTTAACATTTGAGTTAGCTCGCTCGCCTGCAAGCCATGCAAGACCGACCCGTGACCAGCAACTGGCGAACAACGCGTAAAGTGGGTCCGAAGCAACAATTACGGGAGCGGCCAACCAACGACACACGAAACTACAACGGACACGGGAAATGGATCGTGGTGTGCTCTGCACACATAGAAGTACAATTGTAGAGCTGCTCAGAAATTGGATGCAACGACGAAAGATGAGATCAGCAAACAAACTAGAGGTAAGTCGTCGAGATCCCGCAAGAAGCAATGTATGCGAGCCGGCGAGATCAGAACACAACAGGTCGTGCAAGTGCGACTGGAAACAAATAGGACGGAGAAACAAGCACAAGGAAACGAAATCAAGAGACCTCAATTTATTTATAGATTGGGGCAGTCGCCTGTGCAAAGGACGTGGACACCCGCTCCATTGGACTTTAAGCTTCGGCTTGTGCAGAACAGAGTCTCAGACGTAACGTTCCAGGCTGTGTTGCACAGGGAAGCAAGGATTGGGAATGTGGAAGTGAGAGTAAAGGCGTGATATGGAGACACGATAGACCCAAATGAGAATTACCAGAGACACCCAATTAATGAAGAGACAGATTAGGAGAAAAGTACAATTGTGTCTTGCTGGCAAAGGTGAGAAACATAGCGATACAAGACTCTGTGACCTATATCAACTGTGCTTCTAGGCAAAATAGAGGTAATGACGCGAGGCCAGATGGCAACACAGATGATGAAAGGACCGAGTTCATCCTTCGAGGACGGGGAACGCCCAACTGGCTTGTTTCCGTCAATAATGACGTGTGATCAGACATTGCCTGCTTTTGCAAAACCAGCTGTACCGATCATCGACTTACGACGTACTTTGAGGTAATTGTATGTATGGAGATGATGCGGTCTATGAATCGTGAGTGTTTATTTTCATGGTGTGAAGAGCATGTGAATGGTACCCGTTTCCCTCTGATGTTGCAGAATATATTGTATCTCTAATATTGTATCTCTAGTGAGAGCCACACAAGACCATCGTTGCCACTTTACGTTCTTACATTTCGTATTGCATCGTGTATTCCGGGTTTAAGTATTTGAAATTTATAGCCTTCTGGATCTTTTGGATCTTTTGGGACATGTGTCGCTATATTATGTGCTTTGATATGGCCACCAAATATCACTGATGGTGTCGCCTACGTGCCGACAAGCAAATCGGAAGCTAGAGTTGCGATTTTGTTGCCTAAGTATATTGTACGTCGTCTTCATATCAACTCAGCGCCGGATGTGGGCTTACTGTATTAATCCATACATACAGCCAGAGAAATGCGAAACAGTCATGACTATATGCTGCCAGTGTACGTCGTATAAGCTCCTAGTTCGATAAGTTTAAGACGATGGTTGTTCCGAGGATATTACCATCCATTATGACCGTCGACTATATAAAGTCGACGACCTTCTCACTGATCTCTTGCAGCGCGTTTCTGCCTTACATCCTAAAATATGTTTTGTACACCGTACTCCGGGACTTCAAATAATACCATCTCGAATTCTCATCAGGAACTTGAAGACGAGAAACGACGGCTCACGCTACGCCTTGTATGCAAATTGGGCCCCTCGGCTCTTACAACATGTCTGCCCTTTGCCGCATATTCCTAACTGGGAGGTGAGGAGGTGAGGTGACCTTGCAACTTCGTGTGGTTCGGGTCCCTCCTTTTTTTCCTGCAGGTGCGCCGCAGATTGCAGCAAGCCTAGGACGGATTCAGCTTTGGGCTGGGACCGACAAAAGCCATCAATTTATCAGATTTATCCACGGGTCGTCGCATTTGCAGTCAAATTCATATATGTCGTACGTCGCTGGGCGTTGGGGCCGTCTGCATGACATCAAGCAGCATGATGCAGCCCCAGCATGGTCCCATCTTACATCACAAGTCTTCATCCAAAGTCCTAGAACAAGCGAACAGGCCAACAGCCCGGTAAGCAAATATGTTTCTTTGGCCAGGCGATCTAATGCCCTGTGCTTGTTTCTGTGCCTGGGACCAGCCGTGTCGGACGCGGCGATCCAAACTTTGCCGGAAAACCAGACGAGTTGTTGGTGAATGGAAGGCCCATGTCGGGTTAAGGCGAGCCTGTCTGTCAACACCAGGCCTGCCCGCACTTAAAACGGGAGTAAGATTACCAGTGAAGCGGACGTGCTCCTCGGTGCCCAGGAGAGACGAAAAAGAGCCCTGTGGAGCTGCTTCATGAATGGAATGTAAGCGATCTCAGGTGGTATTCCCGCTCACCGGCGGTGCTACGTCTCAGGTGCCAGCCTTCTTCAGCATGTGGATTTTGTGGGTTCCTTGTTTTTGGTTCAATGTGGGACGTTGAAAAAAAAAAGAAGAGGAGAAAAAAAAAAGGCGGAAACTCTCTCTGACCACCTGCCAGCGTTGCATTGAAGGAAGGGCGTTGCTTTCCAGCCACTCGAGCAAACTAAAAGAAGAACGAAGCGTAGGGAGGCGTGCTGGCGAAGAAAACGAACTGGCGAGAAAGAAAGAGGATGGCGGGAGAGCAGGGATGCTGGCGGGCCACCGGACAGGGGAGAAAAAGAAAGCATACGACAAGGAGACAGTTTGGATGGAGACGGCGAGCTTCCAGAAGGACGCAAAATAGGGATGGACCTATGCACTTTTCCCTTTCCCTCTCCAAGCGAATCTTAGCTTCTTTCCCGACGCAACGGCTACGTAAGAGTCCACCTGCGCGATACGGCGTGGGAAGAAACCGAGGAAAGAGCAGCTGGTACAGTACTAAACAAAGTCCCTTGCACAGTCTGCTGACATACTATGGCAGGAGCCGTTCGTTGTGTGCAGTAAATGTATCCTGCCTCCCTACTCCGAATTATCTCAGCTGCTAAGATACTCTCGCGAGTCTCGGTATTCCATTTGAATTGTCACCTCTTCTCATGGAGCCTCCACAGCGCATACCGGGTCGTTTATTCGCAGGTATTAATACCTCTTCAGTCGGTCTGCCTGACTGTTGCCCCTGCTATCGATCGGCAGCGAGCGTGTCCACCCATCCCCCCTTTTATTCCTATGGTGATGGGCACTGGTAAGTGGCTGGCGTTGGCGCCAGGAACCCATGGAACAAGAAAAGAAGACCAAGAAAAGCGACAGAAACGGGAACCAAAACGACGTCGGCGGTCACAGCAAAAGTTGGCACCCCGTCACGGCCGCACCAAAATAACCAAAATAACCAAACTAACCACACTAACGGGACAGGGGACAAGAGGAAGGGGAAAGGCGCTGTGATAGGAGCCGGTTAGTCCTCATATGGCCCCAATTGGTCGACGTTTCTGTGCGCATCTGCCCCTGCCATGGCTTTCGTCGTTGCTCCTGCCGCCATCGTCCCCTGTGTTGTGTCTTCTGTATTTCGTAGTGGTTCCTGCCTTTCCGCCTCCCCGTCCACTGTCCCTTGCAAGCATCGCCACTTCCTCGTCCAGTCACCTGCCAGTAGACAGATGCACATCGTGCGCCCTGCGCCTTCCCGCTGTACTTCTGCAATCGCACACGGCAGAAAGAGCGACCGGTCACGCAGGTCCTTCCTTCGTCCAGATGTCACCTAGCAGCCCATTTCCGTGATTTGTTTATGCTTCGATTTCGGCCTCGTTTTCTTCGTTTCTTCAGTCTTATTCCTCGATGCGTTCCCGTCCTCTGCGTCAAAAGGTGTACGAAGTATTACTGAGAACATGCCACCAGCACCGCCTAATCACACAATGCGCCCACGCTAGCAGTTCAGTTGTCTCCCTTTCCATACCAGGCCACCCCTTTCACACGCTGTGTTCAGCTGCTATTTTGCGGTTCTCGTTCGCCATCTGCGCTGCTCAACCGCATCCGAGGATCGCTGTCGTCTAGCTTTGTCACTCACATTCCCGCCCGCTTTTCCTCTTCCTCTCTGGCTCCCTCTGTCTCTAGCCCTCCGCCCACCTGGCGAACACCCCCCCCCCCAGCCATCTCTCACACCCAGACACCCAAAACAAGCCAAATTCCTGCTCCACTCACCCCATCCATTTCCATCGTGGGCCTTTCTGCAGGGCAGTCCGCACTATCATCGTTGTGTCTCCTTTTTTCTAGCTTTTTCTCGTTTGCCCCTTATTCCCCCTTTGGGCTTCTTTCTTGGTTACCGTTCCCCCTTCCCCAGCCTTTCTTACCACGACCTGGCTTCCTCCAGCATTCACGACTCGACCACGAACGGAACTGGACGACAGCAAAAACGACGTAGGGCGACGTCTTTCTTTTCTGCATTTTTTTATTTTGTTTTGCGACGATAGCATAGTCCGCCAACCGTCCGTTGTTCTACACGCCAACCACCCCTTTTACACCAACACTAAACTCCTATCGAGATTGTCTCCCGGCGCTGCATCACGACTTCGCATCGCATCTTGCCTGCCATTCTCTTGCGCACCCGCCCGGTACCTCGCCGTCTCGATCGCTATTTGGCTTATCACTCCTATCCCATCGGAGAATAGCCGCGGCTTGCTCGCCTGTCAATGAATTATCCGTGTCGATTGCTTTGGCTCCCGTCGCATCTTGTCCCGCGCGCCGCCTGCTCTGCTCCCCTCTCCGCCCGTTTTAGCCTTCTCTGTCGCCCATTTTCGTAGTGTTCTTACTCGTCTCCTTTCGTTTTCTTGTCTCTCCCTGCCACGGTGCGCACGCGCGTGTCTACTTAGACTCGGTCCTCTTTCGTCGCACGCTGCATGCACTACCACTAGTCGAAGAGTAGACTCCTTTGGGCGGTTTCCTTTTCTCAACCTGCTTCCAACGACCGATTGCGCTTTTGCTATATCTCGAAACCGAGCGCCGCATCTGCTCCGCCCTCGAACGAATTGCGGCCCCTTGTCGATACCGTCTGCGTTACCTGCTACTAGCTCTGGTGCCGTCGTGCGACTACACGCACACGCCTCGGCGGGATGGCGTTCCTCTTCAAATCTAAGAAGAATCAGGAGCGCGAAAAGGACCGCGTCCTCTCCAGCCGCGACGGACCTCCCGTGACCAGCTCGCAGCAGTCGTCCATCGCCAGCAACGCCTCGCGCCTCGCCCGCGATGAGAAGACCGCTATGCAACGATCAACACCCACCGGCAGCCTAAACTCTCTCGAAAACGACGGCACCTCCAGCCCAGACCAGGTCGGCTACGGCCGTCGCGCTGAACAAGTCACGTCGCAACAGTCTGGCGACTTGCAGGTGCGTGTTTCTTTTTCTAGTTCCTCTCTCCTCCACCCTTTACCAATATCTAACGTTCTTGCCGTAACTAGTATCGCAATGGCCCCGGACCGACCCTGGGCAACTCAAACATGTCCCTCTATCCGTGGTCGCAACGGCGACTGACCTACACAACGTCAACAACAAGCCCGTTCCCGCGCTATGGCGCAGCCGTCAACGCTACCGGGTCGAAAGAAGGCGACATCTACGTCATGGGCGGTCTCATTAATAGCCAGAATGTCAAAGGTGACCTGTGGATGGTTGAGGCTGGCGCCAACATGTCGTGCTATGAACTTTCTACCACCGCGGAAGGCCCTTCCCCAAGAGTCGGCCACGCCAGTCTTCTTGTCGGCAACGCGTTCATCGTGTATGGAGGTGACACCAAGATTGAAGAGAACGACATCCTGGACGAGACCCTATATCTATTAAATACCTGTACGTTTTCCAAGGGTTGTGTTTTTTTGTCCCGCGATTCATTTCGTGTCAATGTTTAAACTGACCGCCTTGCAGCAACGAGACAATGGTCCAGAGCACTCCCGTCTGGCCCGCGACCATCTGGTCGCTACGGCCATTCGCTTAATATCCTTGGCTCCAAGATCTACATCTTTGGCGGCCAGGTCGAGGGCTACTTTATGAACGATCTTGCCGCATTTGATCTTAACCAGCTTCAAATGCCCAACAACCGGTGGGAGATTCTCATCCCTAACAGCGACAATGGCGGCCCACCTGTTGGCAAAATCCCGCCCGCGAGAACAAACCACTCGGTCGTGTCATACAATGACAAGATGTATTTGTAGGTTTTGGGGCAGTCAGAACGCCTTCTGCAGTATGCTTGCGCCACGTTCACGCACGCTGACAATGTCTCTTTTTCTTCTTCTTCGTCGCAGGTTCGGTGGGACAAATGGCTTCCAGTGGTTCAACGACGTTTGGTGCTACGACCCCGCGACCAACAGCTGGACACAGCAAGATTGTATAGGATACATTCCAGTGCAGCGTGAGGGCCATGCTGCCGCCTTGGTCGACGATGTCATGTACATTTTTGGTGGCCGCACAGAGGAGGGTGCCGATCTTGGCGATTTGGCCGCCTTCCGGATTACGTCGCGCCGTTGGTACACCTTCCAAAATATGGGCCCGTCGCCATCACCGCGATCAGGCCACAGCATGACCTCGGTAGGCAAATCCATCGTCGTGCTGGGTGGCGAGCCCAGCTCCGCAACTACTACCGTCAACGACCTGGCCCTTGTCTACATGCTTGACACAAACAAAATCCGCTACCCGAACGATGCGCAACTCGCTGCCGGTCAAAAGAACACGACACAACAAGGCACGAGACGTCCCAGCGATGCGGCACGACAGGTTGCATCACGGGATGGCTCCCAGGGCCCGCGCGATGATCGGAAGCGGAGCATGGTCCCCGGCACCGTCAACAGCCCCACCAACGGATTCCGCTCGCCCAATGGCAACGACGTCAACGCACCCTCGCCCGTCAATGGTGGTTCCCGACTTCCACGCGCTGCAGGCCCATCACCACCAGCAGGGCCCCCGCCACAAGGCCAACCGCCTAAGCCATCACAAGCTGCGCGTGATCGGAATGCCCCGTCCGACCGTGGCGGTGAATTCGCCAGCTCCCCAGTTCTCAACAACGCGACCAAAAACCAATCACCCGTCTCACGCGACCCTCCCAAGGAGATCGACAGTCCCACTGGTCTTGGTAGTGGTGCTCGCCAAGGGCCAGGCCCAGCCGCACAGCTGGGGCCTCGGGGTCCCCCTCCCAGGTCCGATCCGCCAGCCGCTCCCTCAGCGGCTCCCCCATCAACCGCGCCTGGCGCATCCGAGGCTGCGGCAACTGTAGTCGCGGCTGCGGCTGGTGCGGCAGCAGCTTCTGCTGTGGCTAATGGCCCTCCAGCAACCCCAAGATCGAAGCAACCGCGCCAACGCGGCCCGGGCTCCATTGATGCCACGGCAGAAAGAGCAGGCCCCGGCCCAGGCGGTCGCCCGACATCACCGCCGCCTCCGACCGGTACAAGACAACCAAGCGGCAACCTCCTTGCGAGACGGTCATCTGGACGTAACTCGCAGACAGTGTCCCTTCTCAAAGAACTCGACTCTGCCAGGAACCGGAATGCGTGGTATGCGTCCGAGCTGGAGCTGGCTCGCAAGTCCGGCTACACACCCAATGCGACACTCAGCCCTGTCCTGGACAGCCGCAGCGCGGAGACGTTCACTGAAGACGACCGGCCACTCATCGAGGCTCTGCTTGCGATGCGGGCCGAGCTGGCAAACGTCCAAAGCTCCGTCGACAAGCAGGCGGTTCTTGCCGCGAAACAAATTGCGGAAGCCGAAAAGCAGCGCGATGCTGCCATCCAGGAGGCCGTGTACGCCAAAGCCAAGCTGGCCGCACACTTTGGCAATAACAGCGCCAACAGCACCCCCCAGCTCGGCGGCGACCGTGACGCGGACATCCGCGTCGAAGAGTCGAACCGCAAGCTTGCCACAGCACTTGGCCAGCAAAAGGATCTCCAGTCGCAGCTCGAGCGCTTAACTGTCGAAGTCGACGCCGAGAAGCGTGCCCGACAACTCGCTGACGACACACTGAACGCTGCGCAACGGCGCATGACAGATCTCGAGACATACAAGCAGCAGACCTCCTATGAGCTGGAACGCCTCAAGGCCGAGCTCCACAACGCCCAGCGCGAGGCTCGCGAGCACTCCGTTGCGGCGGCCGAGGCTGTGTCGACGGCCCAGCTCCTGCGTGTCGACAAGGAAAGCTTTGAGCGCCAGTACAACGATGCCGTAGGCTCCGCCAAGGATACCGGCGACTCGTTCGCGTCTCTCCGTGCCGCTCTGGCTGCGTCCGACGAGATACGGTCACACTTGGAGGAGACGCTCCAGCAGGAGCGAGGTCAGCGAGAGACGGTTGAGTCGAAGCTGGCCAGCATCAAAGCTGAGCTTGAGGCCCGTACCGCTGAAGCCTTGTCAACGTCTCAGCGCCTGCGTGACGCCGAGGAGCTCGCGGAGAAGCACGCCAACGAGGCGCGCACGCACCGCCAGGCCGTTTTGAACGGCCTGGATGCAATCAATGCAAGGAGCATCGGCACGCCCAACAAGGCCGATGGCGAGCGGTTGGTGGCACTGCAGGCCCAACTGGTGACGGCGAACGCCCTGGTCAAGAAGCACCAGCAGGATGCCGACACGGCCGCCGAGCGCCTGCGCAGCGCCGAAGAGCGCATTGCGGGTCTGGAGGCGTACCAGGAGCAGTCCAGCCGCGAGGGTGTCACTATCCGTAGACAACTGCAGGCTGCGATGCGCGACACCCAGACGCTGCAGGCGCAGAACACGGATCTGAAGAACCAGCTCTCCAACCAGCAGCTCGAGACGAACGCCGTGATGGTGCAGCACAACACGCTCAAGGACATTCTAAGTGAGCGTGGTATCAGCCCGACTAGCTCGCCCCGTACGCGCGGCAGCCCCGGTGAGATGTCACCAGAGCACGAAACACGCATTCGCAGCCTAGAGCAGCAGCTGGCATCCGCTGTTGCCTCGCACGAGGAGACCAAGCAGACGTTTGCGGTACAAGCGTCAGACTCGGAAGCGGTCTACCGCGACAAACTGACGCAGCTCGAGAACGACTATCAGTCAGCAGTGCACTACGTCAAGGGAACGGAGAAGATGTTGAAGCAGCTTAAGGAGCAGCTGGCACGGTACAAGACAGAGAATAGCCGGCTGAAGACGGAGGTGGAGGAACTCGAGACGAAGACCGCCGGCACGCGAAACCTGGCCGTATCGGCACCGCCCGAATGGGAGGCCGAGCGCGGCCACCTATCGCAGAAGGTGGAGGCGCTCCAAGGCGACCTGGCTTCGTCGAAAGCGCAGCTCGAGGCGCAACTGCAGAGCGTGCAGCAGGAGCTCGAGCAGGTCAAGAGCGAGCGCGAAGCGGCGCAAAAGTCCAAGGACGAGGCGATGACGCACCTGACGTCGTCGCGCCGTGACCTGGAGCAGCTCCATCAAGAGAATGCGCTGCTGGAGCAGCGGGCACAGGAGGCCGAACAGAAAGTCGGGCTGCTGCTCGACCAGGTGGAGTCGTCGGTCGGCAACTACCGGCGCCGCAGCCGGCAGGTGGCCAGCATCAACGCGGAGCAGCTGCGCGAAGCAGCAACCAGCGGGCCGAATGCAGCAGCGATCCCTACGACGAACGGCCACAACGGTGGCATCGGCAACCACGCAACGATACCGGCGCTCAAAATCGGGGGCAGCGGTCTCGGCCATGAGCGGCAGGACAGCTCGGAGACGGGCAGCGCGTACGGCGAGAGCGTTGGCGGCGACGCGCGCAACAGTGCCGCCCTCGACAGCCTGGCCAACGAGCTGGAGACGCTACGCAGCCACTGGGAAGCGACGAACAAGAACTACCGCCTGAGCAATGCCTTTGACTTTGAGAGCACGCCGGGTGCTGGTGCTGGAGCTGCGCCGCCGTCACTGTCAACGGGCCTGCGCAAGGACAACAAGGACGAAGGCGGCCTGGGCCTGAGCGAGAGCTTGGCGGACTGGCGCAAGCGTCTTGACAGCTAGAGGCAAGAGGCACAACATATGGGATTGTGTTTATGAGTAAGGTTTATCTGATTTTGTTCATATGCATGTGGTAATTGTCCTGTTTTATTTTTGCCATTTTCTTCTCATTCCTATTCTCTTTTTCGTTCTTCGTCATCTTCTCCCTGCTTCGGTCACGGGTAATTTTCTTTCTTTTCTGTTTATGTCTCTTTCTCAGGCCCCCAAAAGAACTGAAATGTGGTATTTGTCTCAATGTTTATATAGTGCTGTGGCTATGGAAAGCCGGGGCGTTTCTTCTTTTCTTTACGTCTTCTTTTTGACTCTTTTATTTCCTTTGTTCTTTTTTGTGCACATTATTATTCCTTCGATTTCGTCGATCTATACATATCATTCTGTTTCCTATATGGCTGTCTGCATGTGTATTGTAAACTCCAAGATGAATAGCATACCGTTCTTTCTTTTCGTTTGCTGCTGCAGTTAACTCGTTGAGATGATGTGGCCGTCCCAAAGGAAGGCTCTGTCAGCCTTGTGTTGGCCGGCATGAGTCACTAGGCTGAGCCATCTTGGGCAGGCGGTGCATGCCGTTCGTACCTGGCGCTAAAACCGACCCAACGGGGCATGCTGAGTGGCTAACACAGGCCCTTGGGCGGAGCACGAGTGCTGGGGTTGGGCGGCTGCTGAGCCCTTTTGGGGAGCCTCGTTAGGCGGCCCCCTAATTACTATGGAAAATGGAACATCACCACATTGTTGATGACAACTTTCTACGACTTACTCAAGATATAATATTTGCTCTCCTTGCACTACTATTTTCTTACGCACTTGGGGTGACAATGTACTATTTGTTTTCAATTTCACTTTTTTTTTTTTTGGCTATTTTTACTTAACGCATCTTTTACTCTTGCATTTCTTTCCCGTAATTTTGTTTACTTCCATTTTTGCACAAGCAAAATAAATCAAAAGTGAACAACACTATTTAAATCTCAAACGTACATCTTCACTAGAACACATATACGGACACCATACGCCGTCACATCGGACAAATGCTCGAACTGGACGGCCGCACCGGCGAGGGTGGTGGTCAGCTTGTCCGCATCGCGACAGCTCTCGCGGCCTTGACCGGCCAACCTATCCGTGTGGTTAATGTCCGCGGCAACCGGCGATTTGGAGGCGGTATGCTGCCCGTCCACTTGTGTTCCAAGTGTCTCCTTCTCGTGTGTCATGTCTAACACTGTCCCAGGACTCAAAGCACAGCATGTCACCGCCATCGACTGGCTCGCCGCGGCCACGCACGCAACGGTCAGCGGCGTCGAGAAGGGCAGCCGCACCTTCACATTCAAACCCAGACACGTCTTGCTACCACACAACACGTCTCCCGATAACCCAATTGAGCTCCGTGCCGCGACCGCGGCGGCTAGCACAAGTCTGATGCTGCAGGCCGTCCTGCCGTATCTGCTGTTTGCCCGCCCCTGGACTCCGCCGTCAGCGGCCGAGGCGACCGCGCCCGTGAGCATCGACCTCTACGGCGGCACGCACGTGTCGTTTGCGCCGACATACGACTACCTCGACCAGGTGCTCTTTCCGACGCTCGAGCAGTGGTTTGGGGTGCGTGTCGAGCGAGACCTGGTCCAGGCTGGATGGGGCACAGGGCCGGCCCACGCAGCGGCCGGCCTTGTCCGTCTGGTCGTCCACCCACCGACAGGTGCGACGCTGGTTCCCAAAGTGCCGTCCTTGCTTGTTGACGCGAACGACAGCGTGCCTGTCATTGCATCGATCGACGCGACGGTGTTGGCCCCCGCCGACCTGCTGGACCCGCTGGCGGATGCTTTGGCCCAGGAGGTGGCCAAGTGTGCTCTTCTGTCACCGGTCTCGGATGGGGCGATGGTGGACCTGCAGTTTGCGAGAATGGAGGCGAGCGGGCACGACTCGCGGGTGTATGTCCTGCTGGTGGCGCGGACCGCAGAGGGGGGCGTGGACGGCGTCCGGTTCTGGGGACGCGACTACCTCGGGACGGAGACGATCAAGCGCACTGGGGCCGGTACCGTCACGAGCAAGGGGAAGAAGGGCGGCAAGGGCAACAAGAGTCGCACGCGTGCACCGGAGCGAGGAGAGACTGAAGATTCGGCTGCAAGCGGCTTTGGCATGCTCTGTGGCCGCATCGCGCGACGGGTCGTGCTCGACTTGGCGGACGAGGTGGCCCACGGTGGGTGTGGCGATTCATACCTGCAAGACCAGCTGGTCGTGTTCCAGGCACTGGTTGCAGGCCAGACCTCGTTCTGGAGAGGTGAAGAGGGATATAAACAGGACACACCCAAGGACGAGGACGAGGACAATGCGGAGAAGGGAGAACACGGTCCAGTGGCCGACCTGCAGGAGGCCGTTGAGCAGCTGACATTGCATGAGGGCGAGAAGCGTGAGACAAAAGACGAGGGTGTTGCCGACGACATGACTGTACCATTTGGACAGGGCAGTCTCCATGCGTCGACGGCACGGTGGGTGACGGCCCAGGTGCTGCCTTCTGTGCGCTGGTCGTCCAACGGGACTGTCTGTGAGGGAGTTGGATGGACAAGAGGGGCCAAGTAAGGGGGATGGAAGGACGTGTCGTTTCGACATGAAAACGTAATTCGTACTATCCAAAAAAAGTATGCACATCTCGTTGTGTCCCAGGACAGCGTAAAGATATATGTATGTAAAGAGAAGAAAAAGACGCAAAACAAGAAGCATATAAGAAACCAAAATACGGTCAAAGATACCCCAAAAAGTCGCAATATGTTTATGTACATCGTATGGCATCATATAGGCAGGGGTAGCGCACCTCGCTACGTTTTGTCACTGCCTTTCGCCCCGGCCGCCAGCAGTTCCTTGGCCACGTCACGCAGCTTGAACTTTTGAATTTTGCCGCTCGCCGTCTTTGGGAAGCTGGTGGTCCAGAAGACGTGCTTCGGTGACAGATGCGGGGAGAGGCGGTCGCGCACCCACGCGCGGATCGAGTCGGGCGACAGCGTCTCGTTTGGATCCGAGTCGTCGGCATCGGCGCGCTGGATGACAGACGGCTCGCTCTCGACCACGTATCCACCAGCCACGCGCACACCACCGTGCGGCACGACAAAGGCGCCCACGGACTCCCCGTGGCGCGGGTCGGGGACACCGACGACGGACACCTCGGCCACGAGCGGGTGCTGGAACAGGCAGTTTTCAATCTCGAGGGGGTGGATGTTCTCGCCGCCGCGGATGATGAGGTCCTTGATGCGGCCCGTCACGGAGACGTAGCCATCCGCGTCCATGCACGCCTCGTCGCCCGAGTGCATCCAGCGCTCGCCCGTCACGGGGTCCACGGTCAGCACCTCGCTGGTCTTTTCGGCGTCGCCGTAGTAGCCGGCCATGACTAGATAGCCGCTGGTGGCGAGCTCGCCCGGCTGGCCACGGGGCACGATGCGCGTCCAGTCCTCTGGGTCGACAATCTTGACGGTCGTGTGCGGCATGACGCGGCCGACGGTGCTGGTGCGCATCGCCAAGGGATCGTGCCGCGTCGTCATGCAGCTGACGGGCGCGGTCTCGGTCATGCCGTAGCAAATGACGAGGTCGTGGAGCCCCAGCGTGTCAAAGAGGCGCCGCATGAGCGACTCGGGCACGGACGAGCCGGCGGCAATACCCGTCCGGAGGTGCGTGGGAAGCGCGGCAGCGCGCGCGCGCGACAGCAGCGGCTTGCGGGCGGCTGCGTCGGCCGCACCGTGCTCGTGCTTGTGCTCGAGCAGCTCCAGCATGGCCACGAACATGGTGGCCACGCCGTAGAGGCCGGTGGCGCGGTGGTCGGCCGCCATCTGCAGGGACGCGGCGGGGTCAAAGGCGGGGGAGGGGAACAGGATGGCGGCGCCCGACGTGGCCGTGGCCATGTAGCCGAGCACGCTGCCGAAGCAGTGGAACAGCGGCGGCGGACACACAATCCGGTCGTCGGTGGTCAGCTCCATGCGCTGCCCAATGAAATAGCCGTTGTTGAGGATGGCGGTGTGCGACAGCTGGGCCGCCTTGGGCTGGGACGTCGTCCCGGACGTGAACTGGATGTTGATCGTGTCGGATGCCTGGAGGGGCGCGTCGGGCACGACCGGCTTCTTCTGCAGCGCCGCGACCTGGTCGGCCCGCAGAATGTCCACGCCGTCCGTGATGGCCGAGAAGGGCGTCAGAGCCGCCAGCCGCTCCTCGGGCCGTGCAAAATCGCCTGCACCGGCCACGGCCGGATGGTCGGCCGTGTTGTCGACGACGACGACCGTCCGCAGCGTGGGCACCTCGGGCGACTGGATGGCGCCCGCCCGTTGTGCGGCCAGGGCCTCGTCGCCGCCGACGAGCGCGGACAGCAAGCCCAGGTTGCTCCGTCCGCGGCCTGGCTTGTACGGCAGGTCGGTCACGGCGCCCATAATCAGCACCTCCACGCCCAAGTGGCACAACGCCGACGCGACCTGCTTGGCCGTAAAGGCCGGGTTCAGCGGCACCAGCACGGCGCCCAGCTTGAACAGCGCATACGTGAGGGCGGCGAACTCGGGCCCATTGCCGAGGCTGACGGCAACTCGATCGCCCTTTTTGACCTTGGCAGACGAGGCCAGCCCGTGGGCCAGATGGTCCGAGACGCGGTCGAGCTCCGAGAAGGTGTACACGGTCTCGCGGGCTGGTGCAATGTCCGTGACGCCCGCGGCGACGAGGGGTGCACGGGCGACGACGGCGGGCTGGTCGGGGTAGCGGGAGACGATCTCGGCAAACTGCTCAGGGATGGTGTGGGAGAGCAGCCGTGGCGAGTCGGTGGGTCCGATGCTGATGGAAAGGGGCGCGGCGTCGTTTGAGGAGGAAGGGCCGGTGGTTGGTGAGGCAGAAGCGGAAGGTGCAGACGAGTACAGCCGAGGAAGGAGCCATGGGCGAGCCCGGAGCGCTCTCTGCTGGGCCAGTTGACCGGATGTTCGTGCCGGCGACCGGACGGTAGAAGACCCTTTTGGAGCAGACGAGGAGCAGAAGGAAGACGAGGAAAAGAGGAAAAACGGCGCCGTCCGAGGACGAGACGCACTCCGAGGACGAGACGCACTTGTGCGCCGGCTCAGCGCTGCCGGACTGGCCCTCAGCACGCCTCGAGGAGGTTGCATTGTGGGCGGTCACGTCGGAATGCGGCGATGAGAGACAGTGAGAAAAGCGAAAGAAGGCAACGGCAACGAAGAAGAGATGCGGAAGAAAACAAGGGGACAAAACATGTAGAATAGAGCGGATGGGTCGACCGAATCTCGTGCGCTTCGTTTTTGTCGGTTCGGAAACGGCATCTGGATCACGAGAAAAGAGAGCTCCTTCCCCTTGCATTCCACGAGCTTGACGGTGAACGTCGCTCTTTCCTGTTTTTATTTATATATTTTATTATTTTTGGCGTGCCTTGCCTGTACAGCTGCGCCTTCCTTATTTGTTCTGTACAGCCGAGAGATTGCGGTCGCTGGCTGTTCCTTGTCATCGGCGGCAAACCAAAAGCATGTGGTATTACGTCCCCTCTTTTCTCTGCGACAGTGAGGTCAACACGGAATGCAATGCGAACGAGACGCCTCTTCTGTTGCACTCCGCAATTTAGAGAGCTGACCCCCTCCAGAATGGACCGAAAATGCGGGGAAGGAATCCCACCCTAAGCGTGGTTGGTGTGTCTCTTTTGGAAGGTGCAGAGGTGCACTGGTGCACTACCGACTGCTTTCCCACGGTGACGTAGCTCTCTGTGTCACGGGACAGTGCCTTCCCCAAGTTGCACCGATTGTCAGAGTCTAGATCTAACGTCAATCTTCACTCGGAAGAAATAAAAGGATATACTGTGCAGACCTGCTTTTGATTGCAAATTCCCGAGTTTTGGACGAGCAAAGTAAAATACACAAAGGGCGAGACTTACGACATATCTCTTGCTGCTCGCTGACCGTTCCCTTGACCCGTACGCAGTACACTCTATAGATCAAAACGCCCATTCAATGACACGACAAAGGGAAGAGTGAGACATAAGACAAAAAGAACAAAAAAGAAGAAAGAGCAAAGAGCACAAGTCCCAAACCATCTCCAGATGCCCACGAAAGTACTGGACTGAAAATGCCAATGCGAGAGCTCCCACCCGGAAGTTCTTCGCCATTGTGGAGAGGCGTCGGTCCGTGGCCGCCGTCTCGTCCTGGGCCTTGGAGAACACGAAAGATATACCCGTCTATTATAAAACACTATTGTTATAGGCGTCCCGTTCGGTTGCTTGTCTTCGTTGCGTATGCCGTCGCAGACAAGTCAGGCCGTGGCGCCTCTGATTCTGAGAGGGCACACTGATTTCTGATCCATATTCCGATTTCGAATTTGCAACACTGTCAAAACGAAATGAGTGACAACATTGACGCCACTTGAAGCCGAAATATGTCGGACATGATTCCTGTAAATCGAAATACGATGTGATATGTCCGGACGTCGAGACACGCCGAAACAGGCCAAAAATAATATGCTCGTCGACCGTGAACGCCGTTGCTAATGCATGAAAGGAAGAGAGAAGGATAAAACATGATTTTGAGTCGAACCACGACACGCGAGCGTTGCAAAAGGGCCGTCGATGGGGATGGACACGCATGGACGGTCGCGGACAGCCGGCTTACTCCTGCTGCTCGCCAATGTGACGCTCGCTCTCGGGTTTCCAGGTACCTGGATTTTGTTAGCTTGTGAGCAAGGGGTGTTCTCAACCAGCGAAGCAAGTACAAAATGAGAACAAACAAGACGCAACAAACATACCCTCAAAGTCGTGCTTGACAAAGGCCATGGGATCGTCGTAGTCCTTGGCGCCCATCTGCTCGACGCCGGGCGAAAAGGACGTAATGGGCAGCACAATGACGTCGCCGACGCGCTTTGGGGCGTCCATGCCGGTAAAGTTGCGCCAGTCGATGGGGCCCTTGGAGTCGGCCATGTCAAAGAAGCGGTCGTCGTTGAAGTAGCCAAAGACGACGTCGGTCCACACGGCGGGGCCCGAGAACTCGACCACGTTGTTGCCGAGAAAGGCCGACGTGTCGCCGGCGCGCTTCAGGCGCAGGGTCTCGTTGGTGATGTGCGTGACAATCTGGCGCAGGACGGGGTGGCCCGGCTTGGCCTGGATGGTCCACTGGCAGAACTGGATGCGGCGGCTGTACCAGTCGCGCCAGTCGGGCCGGTCGGGGTCGGCCTCGATGCCAACGACGAGGCCAATGGCCTCGCGGGGCACGCTCTCGGGGATCCACTCGAGTGCGCTGCGGATGGCGTAGGTGTCAATGTCCGAGTAGATGCCGCCGCGGGCGAGCAGGATCAGGTAGCGGAAGAAGTCGGCCTTGAGGACGGGCAGCGGCAGCGCGTCGTAGGCCTCGAGGACCTCGGGGACCGCGGCATACAGCAAGCGCAGCAGCTTGACGGCCACGGCATCGGTAATGACCTCGTGGATGAAGCCCGGGTGCTGCTCCGTCCACGTGGCCTCCTGCTCGCGGAAGGTGAACTCGCCGTTGGCCGGCGTGTACTTCCACGTCTGCCAGATGTAGGCGGGGAACTTCTTGTTGACGTCGTAGGGGTACTGGTACGCCAGCTTGTCG